GCACAGAGAGGACGTTCTGTGCTGCAAACCTACTGAAAGCCTGGCATTGGTTTCGCTGTGTTTGCAAACACAGATGACAACAGCAAAGACAAAGGGAGGGAAAGTCGTCGCTCATTAAGCCGTGTTTTGCTCTCACCCCGTGTCCCTCTTCCCACTTTCTAGAACATATTGTGATTTCGAGGGGGAGACGAGCGTGATGAGTTACGCGTTTAACTGTTCGCATCTCATTCTGTTGATATAGAGCTGTGATTGATTTCTCCGGAGGAAGAGTCTGCCACAGAGAGGCACTTCTCGCGCACGTGGGTGTACGTGAGAATTTGGGCATGCGTGCCGGCGTTCATAAAAAGGCTTTCGTCTGCTCGTCTCCTTCGAGAGCAGGATTTAATTGCGGTTTCTGTGCCCACCTGCATCGGAGGGCGCCGATCGATAATTATTGAGCACGTTCATCCAGTTGAGGATGTCTTGTGGACAGGGTTGGGGGGGGGTTGTCTGACCTGAAGATTTAAGCGCTGTTGATGCTTAGCAATTGGAGTGGGTTTAAAAATAAAGAAATAAAAGCGTGATAGATTCTCCGTTTTCCTTGGCAGCATCTCATCAACCTGTTTGGATCTGGTGTGCTCTCTTTTTCCTGCTTTTATTGCTTTTTGCTGGAAACACCTTCTGCTGCTCGGGAAAAAAAAGAGCTGGAGAGACTAAAACGAAGCAGTTTCTCTGTAGTTGAACCCTTTCATATTACATTTAACCATTTTAAACAGTGCTAATATAGAATATATTTACTAAAGCAGTAATGACGGTGATGAAAACATCCTACATTCATACAGATTTTCATCACAGTATTAGATGTGGGCGTTTATATTTTTCCCCCCTTGTATTGCACCGTGTACCCCCAAGTGAAGTCCAAATATGTCAATCATTATTCTGATATATTTCCTCTAATGGAATAATTCATTACAGGTGCATAACAGTGCGGGGCATCATCTCCAGACACCATTTATCCTGCACAGGTGGCCTCACCGCTCTGTCTGAGAGGCTAGTTAGTGTGCTGATGGGCATCAGAACAAAGAGCCTGTAGCTGTCTGGCTCAGACAGGCACATTAGGAAACCATCATTACAACAATCTTCTCTGGATCAGCTTTTTGCCTCTTATGTCTGATATGATGGCCTTCTGATGTGGGAGTGTTTTGTAAGGCTGTGTAGTGGGACACCTGCATGGCTGGTGGCATGGGGGTTTGATGACAATTATGTTCAAGGCCGCATACAAACGCACATTTAAAAATCCCACGTACTAATGGAAGGGCAGACAAATGTCATGATGTGTCATTTCTGAATGATTAAAGTCACAGTAACCTAACTGATACATGTCAAAAAGATGAGAGAAGTTCCTACCTAGGTCATTATCCAGCTCCTCTGTATGTACCCCTTCTACTCAGTCGAGTGGACGGCACAGCAGCGCCACAGGATTGTTGTTGGGAAGGCAAAGGCAGGAGGGGTGGATTGAAGCAGAAAGACAAACATCTGTGAGTTAGGCGGCTGTAATAACAACATCTGGACACTGGGTGGCAAGATTTAACCAAAACCAGAGCAACAACCTCTGAAAAACCATGTTTACTAAAATCAGGCGGCACTAAAGACTGGATCTCTGAATGTGGTTTGACATGATAATGGAGTTGAGCTTGTGACCTTTTCTTTTTCTGTATACTGTAACAATAGACTACAAAATTGGGGAAGGCAATTAATGGAAGGTGTAGGTCTTGTTGCTCCAAGAAACAGCTGGAAGAAGAGCAAAGGTGGCACCAGCCAGTGGACTGCACACCATTTTCTGTGACCCAATACTGACACCTAAAGACTAAAAGGGTGAACCTCTCAGATGTGTTATCCGAGTCTGAGTTTTTGGGTGTGGTGTAGAAAAACATGCTCTAAACAACGGAACAAAACAAATGAAAAAATATCACCTCCTTTAGCTTACAGAAGATTTTGCACAAACATTGACAGACAGACACGTACCATCATCTTCAGATTCTTCCAGGGGTTTCTGAGGTTTGTCCAGGCACCGAGGGTCTATCCAGGAGGTCGTCCTTGTATTGTGGCTAAGCAGAACACGCAAGACAGGCCAGACAAGACAAATTATTAGAGGGTAGCTAATAGAAGTCGGAAATTTGACCCTGGAACAGGTGGAATGAATTATTTCTAAAAAAAGGAAAAAGTGACACACGGCACTTGATCATTAACTGAAAGCCCTGAAGGTTAAACAGGAAACATTTAAATCTGAGCAAATTGGAATGCTTTTACCATGTTAATAATAGTAAAAAAGAACATTATGATTGTTCATTTTAATGGGTGTAGAGAAGAAGAACACAGCTGGAAGGATCCTAAAAAAAGAACAATATAAACGTAAGTAAGTTACAGTGGATATTTAAAGTTTTATGCCTCATATTAAGGAATTTCAAATCTATTAGAATCTGTTTGACAAGTAACAACAACAAGGAGTAAGGCATCATAGATGACCAGGTAATCTGTAATAAATTTCTCTCTAATTCTCTATACTGCAGACTTTAAATTGGTTAAAGGTTCATGGCTGTAGGAGCGATGCAGGAGGAACTCTTTGGTATCCTGAATTATGCTTCATGTAGCCGCCGGTAATGTACGCTGTATTCTTTAAACTTTCATGCTTCCTAAAGCCTTCGAGTACTCTCCACAGCGACACACGTCTGTCACATTAAGAAGAAACCTGGATCTGGTTTAGACGGTGCAGACGATGGTTAATACAGAAAGAGAGTCAGCAATGAGAAAATGTGTCACGTTAGATAAAGTCATGTCCCATTTTAAACAGAGTTTAATCAAAATGAAAGGAAGCTTCATTCAGCCACATTGACAGTGAACACTGATAATATCTGATTTAAGAGTAAGCACTACTGGAATCCGACCTTTGGTACTTACTCTATAAAATAGACCTCTCCGTTCTCGGTATAGGCCATCTCCCAGTTGTCGGGCAGAGGTCCCAGCGGATCCTCTGGGGGAGGATGGCTCAGGTGAGTGTGTGTCTGCTGTGTGCTCTCCGTGATGGCCGGTGGTGAGGGGGTTGTCCCAGCGTAGGACAGGTCACTCTGGCGGGGGGCGAAAGGGCGCACCGAGTGATGAATCTCGTCTAATTCACTAGAGTCTCCTGGAGGGACAAAAAACCCAGAACACACACAACCTGGTGTCAAAAATCTGTCAACTAAAGGACGCCAGTAACACTTTCAAGGAGCAACAAGTAGCTGTGAAAACAATGAGTTAACCTTGGGACAATGATGCGCTCCATTTCAAGCTGGGATTTCCAAGCTACCAGTTGTCAACCGGAAAGCTCCCACCAAACCCAACTCAGCAATCCAACATGGCAGCAGTGCACGTAAACATGAGTGAAACTGTAAAACTTGCAATCTGCTGCTCTACTGTTGTGCATCTGTGACTCGCTGAATGAGCCACACACAGAGCACTGACCGCACTTTACTAGGATGCACTCAATTAGGAAATTCCATTTGCTCTGGAAGATGGCCGAGGCAAATGGAACGCATCACGACATCAACTAAAGAAAAATTTATTAACAACTGTCTTCAAACAAACAAGTGCTCCTGTTGATTACACCGTTTTTTTAAGTATCGTCACAAGATACAGCCTATTATGTAACCTTAAAGTCTGTGCGGTAATAGAAAAAAAACATACATTTCCTAATACATTAAGAATTATTGAAACATCATTTGAATGGGAGTTTGGAAGAATTCCAGGCATTTAGTGTATTTCTGTAATGTTTTCAATTTCCACAGGAATAAAAATATCGCCTGCCTGAGCAGTCTGAATAATTTAAAGACTAAAATATTTGAAAAAAGTTTCATGAGGCTGTAAAAATCCACAACTAGATGACAAGAAAGCCTCATGTCAGTGAGTTTTTGCATCTACTTATTGAATGAAATCAGTTATGTTGCTATAGCATGTTTCCATTTAGCCCAATAACTTCCTAAAGACAGACGTACTTTGGGCTTGTTTCTTTCCTCCTTCAGTAAAGAATGCTGAGTGGGCAGTTCACGCCTTGAAAGTGCTAGCACCTTGCTTCCTGCCGGTTCATTTCCACACTCACACTCGAGTGGCACTTGTCACACTATCACAGAGAGTTAAACAACTTCTGGTGCCACATTTGAAAAACACATGTCAGCCACAGCTTTAAGGCGGAAACTCCTTAAATTTCCTACTCACCGACTAACAAGGAAATCCCCAAAATTACTCCAGTTCATTTCTTTAATGTCAAACCAGCAGCACTGCTGTCATTTTACCAACTTAAACTTAATTTAATGGACTATTATCCCCCCAAAATCAATTTCACATATGGAATCTGCTCAGGTGTCTAATGCTCGCAGCCAGATGGCACTATTTTACATGTGTGGATGCAGATACGCAGGCAGCAGATGTAGTCCGAGCCAGAGACCACTTACTCACCAATCAAAGAAGTTCTTGTATTCTGCAGCCCCTCTCCACAGCAAAGGGCTCTTTCTCTCTCCACTTCTTTTGTGCTTTCTCCTACTTCTTTTCTGAGCTTATCCTTTTTCACAGTATAAAAACCTCCCCTGCTTGTTTCTTTCTCCCTTTTCAGTCGTTGCTTTTTTAGACTTGCCCTCTTTCTCAGTCACCTCCTCTTTCTATTTAATTTCCTGCTACCTTCTCTCCACTTGCATTCGCCTCCCACTTTATCCATCACCTCTCAAATGATTTTTCTCCCCCGCTTCTCCTCTCCCAAAAAATAAAAGTGAAAGAAAGTGATTCTCAGGCTGATCTGCAGGGTCTGTTTGCTTTGGTGTCCAAATCAGCTGAAGGAGCGGTGAGTCCCGTGAAACAAGGAGGAGTTAAAAACAACCACAGCTGCTAGGTGGTTACAGGCAAAGTGTGAGAAAGAGGAAAGATCTCTTTGAAAATGCAGATAAGCATTTATAAGTGTCAGATGTGATGTATCACTTTGGGTCTTCTCTGTGAAAAGAAGGCAAATTTAATTTAGCTTTGGGTCTGCTGCCAGCCTTCTGGGTCCATTCTTTTATCTTCTGTCCAAAGTTGTATTCAAATGAATGTGAGACAAAAATGCTGCTCTTAACACCTGGCTTCAAAACATGGCTTACACGCATCTTGAGTGACCATTTGCTTTTTGATTTCAGGTGCCAAGCTCACACCCTACTTGAGAGAAGGACACACACATCTGTGCTGAGCTGGCCAGAGAAGATGAGTGCACTGTGTGGTGCCACAGCTTGTGTACACAGCTACCAAGGCGTTAGTGCGGGCAAATCAACTGTGCTTTGGTTTGGTATTCACATTATTTTATTTAGTATTTGCTTTTCTGGCTCCACTCATATAGTATTCAATACTATATTGGATAGAAATCAATTATCAGTTCCTCCAGGAAACACTTTTCAGATTAATAATTAATGAAATAAAAATGAACAAAATCATTTGAGATGCTTTAAAAGATCTTATTTTGTCAGATCACTTATCTGAAGTCTAACACCAATTGATGTAAAGGAGGGTTATCAGCAAGCAATCAAGTATTAATGTACTCAGTGTACACGCAAAAACAGTGCTCTGTCAGTGTTCCCTTCATGACTCAATAATGGGATATTCTCGTCTCATCAGTTTAAAATTTTAACCAACTGTAGTTGGTATTCATTTAGAGTTATTCACTTCAGTCTCCCTCATGTTTTGCTAATCTGACTTGAGTAAATGTAACTTTGCAGATGGTTTAAACCGTGGCCTCTTATTATGCATTTGTTATAGCAGAGGGTTATTTTCTTCAACATGGCAGCGTCCTGACAGAGCCATACATGGTCATTTATACACGTGCTGTTGTACTCTTCACTAAAAGCAAACAGCAGAGTGCTTCTTCAATGCACAAAATCATAGAGATACAATGCTCAGTGTTACTCGAGTGTCAATCTAAACTTATAAGAGACTCTCCGCCCATCCGATTTCCTCTCCTTCCTCCGCACGTACCTGTAAAGCTGCTGTTCATGTCATGGAGGTCCTCGTCGTCCTCCTGCTGCTGCTCTCCAGGCACTAATCCAGCATTGTGCATGTCATTGTAGGACTTGGAGCGTCGGGGAGTGGAGTGCTGTGAGCCCGGCAGGCTACTCCTGAGCCCGTCTGGCAGTGGGGCATCACCGCTGTTACCACTACTGCTAATCACTTTCCCACTGGGGGGCTGCACTGGTGGCTTGGGTGTCCCATAATAGTTACCTAGGTGATGAAGGAGGCAGAAGGGAAGATGGGCGGGGATCAGAAAGACACAGAAAAGAGTAGTGGGAGGGCATAAGAGGAGGGGTCGAAGGGCCTTTTGTGTGTGTGTGTGTGTGTGTGTGTGTGTGTGTGTGTGTGTGTGTGTTGAAGGGGGTTTAGTCACAGTCTTTGTATGCAAATTGTCAAGTTGAGTTTGTCTGTGGGAGAATGCTAATCTCCAAAGCAAAACTGCTTTTGTTCTTTTTTTGTGTTTAATCTCAAAAAGTTTCACAAGCACCCCCCCCCTCCCTTTTTTGTTTTATAACTAAACAGTTACTTTATTTCTCAAATCACTTTTTACTGCTATAGCTTAATTAGGCTGATATTTTCCTAAGTCACCCTTAAACACCAGTTTCTCAGATAACAGATACTCTGACACATGCACAGCACCTGCTTTCCTCCATAAAAAATCCTCTCCATTTCTTCAGTGCCAGTGCAACATTTTGGTTTAACTGAAAAATTCAAATTCAAACATACAGAAAATCACTCATGCTCATCCAAAGAGTAACCAGGCAGAGGTAAAGAGACTGTACCATCTGCAGACCAGCATCTAAAGCCACAGTCTTCATGAGTGAATGGTGTTTGCTCCAAAATATAAGTAAGCTATACTGAGCTAGTCTAATTATTTTGCATTGGCTTGAGTACAATTAATCAACCGTGCTCACAGACCTAAAGGATAAAATAATTAAATTCTAGAAGCCGATAGTTACAGATGATTCATAGTTTGAACTTTACATTATCAGACGTGAAGATATAATAACGGCGAAAAACCTGCAGTCAAACATGATGGAATTATCCAAGAGGATAATGTTTCTGCTTTTCTGTAAGAGCAAAACACCCAGGTTTACACCATGCACAGACTGAAGAAGGTGGACTGATGTTTACATACTGTAGTTTCAGTTGTCAGTTATTATACGCAGTCTCGAACCACATTTTAGATCCTAACCAAGCTTCAGACTTTACTCTCACACACTTCAGACCTGTCTGAGTTTGACAGGCATTTCAAAACATTATGTAATAGATATGATGGGAAAAGCAAACTACATGACGGTTAACTTGTCATGTTGCAGAGCTCTGTGTGTGCCCTCTGCTTAGTAAAGACACGGAGGCTTTTGTGCTCTCTGCAAGTTTCATTATGGGCGTATCTTTGTGTGGAAATAAATAAAGTTTAAAAACTCGCTCAGAATAAGAGTAAAAGCTGTCTGAGATGTTATAAAATGGGTCTGTGTTGAACAAATGTTCTGTGTAGAAGTATACGCCTGTGCCTTTGTATCTCTTCCAGGAAACTGTTAGCTCAGTACGGTATCTAAATGTTATTCAGTTAATTTCAACCTTTACACTGTGTCTCTTATTCAGAAAAATAGCAAAAGCTCCAACAAACTACAAAACGAGTCTTCTAATACAATACAAGCAGCAGGTTTTAAAGTGATTTAAACCCTGTTTGTGTTATATTGTTGTTGGTAGAGATGGGAGGCTCGATCTGCTGGTTCTACTTCTAAGATTCACCTGTCCAGGTGTCTGCAGGACGGTGGTTTTTTTTTTCTTTTTTAGTTGGCAAGGTCCAACAACTACAGCAACCTTTCTAATTTACCATCATATGTTCCTATCTCCAAGAGGGTCCCACTTTTCTCCAATTCCAGGAATTGCTCTACTGAGAGGAAGTCGTAGTCCACGCCAGGAACTTCTCCTTCACGTGGGGCACGGGTAGTACCTAGACAGAAAAACAGAGAGAAACGTAAAGTTAGACGACTTCTTTTTTTTCCATTTCATTATGTGACATTTCATCACCTTGGGAATCTGAGTGCTATGATGTCAAATGAACTGCCATGTGAACCCTTTGGGATTTCCCACACACACTCGTTCCACCTTGCTCCCCATAATGCTAATCTTTCTGTTCCTATATCCTCTCGTTTAAGTTGTGCATATATATCCACATGCATTAGAAGCCTCCATCGCAATTGGTGCAGAGCGAGTTGCAAACAGCAGAGCCTAAAAGAATGATTATCAATTGTCTGCTATGATGTTATTTCTCGGGTGGGGTGTGAAGTATTGTAGTGGCACCTCAGTGAGAGCCTGCCATATGTGCCGGGGTGGAATGGGAGTGTGTGTGTCTGTTTCTGAATTGGCATGCAGCCTGTGAAATTCTAGCACTTGCCTTTAATGGCTGCAGACAGTTGGCCGGTGTGGCACCAGCGGTAAACAGCTTTACACATGAAACGCTGTGTTTCTATTTAACCATTCAATGTTTGCCTGACTAATGCGATTTCCACGCTATTGTACGCGCCGCTCTGAAGTTCTCTTTAGCGTTATCTCACTCTCTACCTAATTGATTTTATCCTACTCCAAAAATCGAATTATTCTGGCACAAATAAAAGCATCCAGTGCCCATGGCAAAATATCTTTTTCTTCTATTTAGTGACAGCAGAGGGCTTTCCCTGCTTTGCCTTCTTCCATTGAAACCACTTTCTTCCATCTCCCGATCTGTCTTATCTTGCAATCATTTTGTCTCCAGTGGGCTGCTAAGCAATAAGCTGGTAAAAATAGATGTGTGAGAATACGGGGAGAGGCTCCCACTGCAGCCACGTTCGGTGACACTGGTGATAAATCACAGATGCGCACATCCTAACTCGAGCAAGCGTACAATGCACACAGAGAGTTTCCACGTCTGAAGATAATGAATCTCTTATACAAATATTCTTGACGTGCATCAACTCAATCATCTATTACAGTATATCGCCTATTCTATCACGGTTATATGCCATTGTATGAAGGACACAGACAGGGATAATCTTCTTGTGAATTACCAGAATTCGCAAGTAGCGCCCGCAAACATCTAATCGCTTGTGCACCAAGAGGAAATTGATTTAAAGTCAATCGGATACCAGTCACTCTTTGCACGTTCCCAGGCAGAATTTCTTTTTGCCGAATGTCAACCGTAAAGAGTGCTCAGACAAGCCGGAGTGTCCAGCCGACTGTCAGTTCACTTCGCATACAAAAGCGGCCATTGATTCGACTCCATTTAGACGGTGCTGCTCTTAGAAAACTAAATAGGAAGAATTGTGACCAGTGTTTCAAAGGGGGTGTTAAAAAAAAAGGGAGAAAAAAAAAGCAGAGCCTTGGCTTATACCCAGGGTTGAGACACTGTTATCGCTATAGGCCTAATTAATTCAATACCCCCTCCCCACAAAAGCTCCATTGACCAAACTGTGGAATGGTACGAGCAAGAAAGACAGGTTGAGAGCCGAGCATAGAGACTCCTGCGACTGTGCTAAGAGTTAATGTAATCCAGCTGCTGGTGCACACAACGAAGCCTCGGAGATTTGTTGTGAGGGTGTTCATCTAAAGCTGGCTGCCTTGGGGCTTAATGGTTTCAGCGTATTCACGAGTTGAGTTGGGTAGGTGGGTGTTATGTAGAAAGAAAGAAAAAATCATCATTAGCATTTCAGGAAGATGATCAAGGAAAAATGGTAAGACACTGGCAGTCACACTGTAATGCTGCCGCTGCATCAAAAACATCCCTCCAAAAAACTTAAAGCATTGTAGCCTGCAACTGTATGACACACACAGCAATGAAAAACTGTTTTTTATAAGGACAGAATAGAAACATTTAAGTCATTTATGCTTCTGCAAGCATCCCGGGCCTGAGTTTCTGCTAATGAGAGGAATAATACAATGTGGGCAGGAAAGTTGCTAACTTGTGAGAGAAAGAAGTTTGTTTTCCAGTTACAACTTCTTTAGCTTTCACAACTTCCTTGTCAAAAATAGGACCACATAGTTATGGCTCCATTAGAGAGAGCATGCACGATGTAAGGCATGACACGGCAGCATTTACATCACGCACAGTCGGTTGACCCTCTGAATGGTACTTCCTGTGGTCAGTTTTGGAAAGCATCGATAAAGCTGCTCACCTAAACTGTTCAACTTACATTCCTGCATGATACTGAGCACTACCCATTAACACGTTGCATCCCACTTCAAGATACTGCCACACTTCCCCTGAATACTGAACTTACCACTAACTGTGTGGAAATTCTGCAAAACACTACATTTCAAGCAATGTCAAGTTTCTTTTTCTGAAGTATGCAGTGGCTGTGACTAGTCAATTCCAAACACCTTACCTAATATCAATAGCTTCAAAACATATGTATACAACAGCCATCATAGAGGTTGTACACAACAAAATGAAGGAATTGACGTCTTTTTAAGAACAGAATTCATCAGCAATCCATTTATAAAATTTGTGAGAATAAAAAGGTCCAAAAGCAAACACATAACCTCAACCTCCAAACACAATCTCGACAGACCGAGTAGAAGGTTTTTAATTTTATATTAGATTAGTGTGTCAACTACCTTAATCTCGCACAGCTGAGCTAACACTTATTTTAGGTGAAGCGGCAAAAAAAAAGCCAATAAGCCTGTGTTGGAGGGTCAGCACGGAAGCTTGGGACTAGTTTTATTCAGCAAGGGGCTCTCTGCTGTGATTGGTGAAAATATAATAATGCATATCTGACTGAAGGGTATTTAGACCTGTCCTCACAGACACTTCACTACAAGGGCAACTATCACTGCTACTACTGCAAATGGAGTAAAAGAAGCAGTACTATAATAAGAAAAAACACTTGCCCATAGTGAGAGCAGGGGTCCGTGTGCATGTCTGCACACAGAGCAGGTCAACAGCCTCAAAAATACTGTCGCTGTCATAATGTGTGTTTTTTTAAAAAGTGTGGCTTTAAAGCTCTGCTGGTTTTTAATTTCTCCATTACCTGAAAGTGCTTTCACTAGAGCTTATATTTGTTTGTTAATATGTGTATGATTGTTGTTTAGAAATATGTACACGACTTTTATTAATTACACTTGTTCAATTGCTCTTTAATTCACATATCTAATCAACCAATCACATGGCAGTGCATTCGGGTGTGTAGATATAATCAAAGCAACCTGCCCGAGTTGAAACTGAGTGTCAGAATGGGGGAATAGAGGTGATTTAAGTGGTTGGTGCTGCCAGATAAACTCTTGTGAGCATTTTAGGAACTGCTGATCTACTGGGAGTTTCATACACACAACAATCTATAGGATTTACAGAAAATGGTCTACAAAAGAAAAGATTTAATGAGCTGTGATTCCCTGGGTGAAAAGTCTTTCTTGGCGTCAGAGGAGAATGGCCTGATTGTTTTGAACTGTCAGGAAGGCTTAAATAATGACTTGTTTCACTTTTTGTATTCAGAATAGCATCTCTGAATTTGCAAAACATCAAATGAAGCAGATGGTCTAAAAGCAGGAAACCGAGGCTACATATTCACATGGGCTGGGAGATGAGAAGATGGGAAAACGTTGACTCGTCTGATGAGTCTCGATTTCTCCTGCAACATTGCTGGGGTCAGAATTTGACATAAACAACACGGAAGCAACCGGTTCATACTGCTGGTGCAATCGGTTGGGAGATATTTTTTTTAGCACACGTCGGGCCCCTTAGTACCAACTGACCCATCTTCTGGTGGCTGCTTCCAGCAGAATAACACACCATGTCACAGAGCGCAAATCATTGGAAAGTGCTTTCTTGAACATGACAGTGAGTTCACTGCACTCAAATGGCCTCCACAGTCACTGATTTCAATCAAACGGGGCTCCTTTGGGATGTGATGGAACGAGAGATTCACATCGTGGATGTGCAGCCGACAAATCTGCAGCAGCTGTGTGATGCTGTCATATCAATATGGATCAAAATCTCTGAGGAGCATTTCCAGCATCTTGTTGAATCTCTGCCATGAAGAATTAAAGCAGTTGTGAAAGCAAAACTGGATTCAAACATGTACTTGCAAGATGTAACTAATAAAGTGGCCATTAAGTTATATGCAGTATTTTTTTTTTAACTTGGGGCCCACTTGCAAGCAAGATCTTGATCGCAATTAAACTTCTTAATTAAATAAATTAAATAAAAATACATTTGCATATCCTCCTGGTAAAACAAACCACTTTGTGTAGGATCAAGACTTTTTGCGCATGTTTGTGTGAACATATGGAGCTGTGCCTGACCTTTATTCCTTCCTGTCCGCCTGACTATCCGATTGTCTGTTCCTTCCCACAGATAAGAAACCAGCAAGCTGAGCCCAGCAGAAGGTTGACTCAGATACCCACAGTCAGAAGCAGTCTTCTGGCTCATATGTGAATGGCAAACATGCGCGCGCGCACACACACACACACACACACACACACGCACGCACACACACACCTACCTTTTGGCCTGTAATAGTATAAACAGGTTTGAGAAGCAGACACTTCCTACTCAGTGTCCTTGTCATAATCAGCAGCTGTTCCCCCTCTGCCAGCCAAAACATGCATATGTAAGTGCCCGCACACAGACAGTGGGGAGGGAGGTGTCACCAAATGGCATGGTCTACGGATAACGGGGGTGTGGGTGGAGGGTAATCACCTAATGGAGCTTTATGCAACGATCTCCTTTGCAGCACACACATACACTCATAAACACCGCTTCATTATCATAACAGCTACAGAGGGGGCGCTGCCCTGTCTAAGCCGTGTACCACCTATGGTGATCGGATCAGACTCTACGAGGAGAGCAACTTAAATTCAGCACATCTGTACTTATTGGGTGCGGGGTGGAATGGATACTGGCCACCTTTGCTAAAAAAATGTTTTTGAAAAGTCAATGATCATATTGCTTCGATGCCCCTTAACTTATTGGCCAAATAA